TGGGGTATAGCTGGAGGGTGGCTCCTAGTAATTGGAGAACATCTCTGCCTAGGAGAGGAACTGACAGGATGGAATGACCAGAAGAGTGTGAAAGGGTGTCCCTCCAGGGCACAGGCCAGCTTTACAGTTCTGTCTGGGAGAAGGGTTTGTCATCAATCCCCATAACTGAGACCTGGGAAGGAAACAGGGGCCTAGGATGGGCAGGCAAGACAGAATAGGTAGCCCCCGTATGGACTTACCCGCTGCCTGGAGCGTTACCCTGGGCCAGCCATGGGGCAGTCGCTCTTCCAATGTCCTGTCTGCTTACAGGTGGGCATGGCCTGGGAGTAAGCCATGGGTCTGGGCACTGGCGAGCCCAGTGACCTTCACATCCACATTTGAGGCAAGCCTCTGGTGGAGAGGAGTGCTGGATCCTCGAAAAGCCCTCGTGTGAGCCGTAGGCCTCAGGGCCGCTGCCCAGGCCTGGGTTTGGGGCGTTACCTTTTTCTGCAATGGAGCCTGCTTCAAAGGCCATTTTCACCAGGTCTCAGATAGGGTCTGAGGGCCCTCCTCAGCTCATTTGTGCTTTTTCTAATATCATGAGCCGACTGAGTAGTGAAATGGGTTGCTAACACTGTAGCCCTGGTGGGAGTCTCGGGACCCAGCTTGGTATATTTGATGAGAGCCTCTGTAAGGCGGTTGAGAAATAAGGCTGGATTTTCTCAGGATTCTGGGTAATTTCCCTCAGTTTATGGAAGTTAACTACCTTATTAGGAACTGCTTGCATGCCTGCTATAAGACATTGGACCATGGGAGCACAGTGACGGCCACCTTGTTGGCCATCCTGATAGTCCCAGTTAGGTTCCGTTAGGGGAAGAGCTGCTTCACCTGTGGGGAGAGTCATATCTGTTAAACGAATTTGGTCAGCATGATCTCCAGCAGCCTGCTGAATGCGGGCTCGCTCATCTGGGGTCAGAGTAGAGGAGAGAACAACATAGAGTCGTGCCAGGTAAGGACATAGGTCTGGGAGAGATATCGGGATTCCTTAATATAAGCAGAAGAGTCAGCAGAGAAAGACCCAAGACGTTTTTTCAATCTGGGAAAGATCTTGAAGTGCAAATGGGACGTGCACTGGGACTATCCCTTCAGCACCCGAGACTTCCCTAGAGGACAAAGGAACTGTGGGTTATCTGATAAGAGGGATCAGGAGAAGAGAGGGGTGAGTGGGTGGAGGTGATCATGGCTGTAGGAGGGGAGGAAGAAGAGAGTGGGGGAGGTGGAGGAGGAAGGGTCTTATCAGTAGAAGAGGTGAGCAGAGGGGAGGAGGAGGTTCGGTGGGACCAGCCAGGTGGGACCCATTCTGCCTGCCAGGGCGGCAGAGGGAGCCAGCCAGGGAGGGAGGAAGGGTGCACGTGTCTGGTGGCCAGGCAGACTGGAAGCGCACAGAAAGGGCTGCAGGCAGTGGCTGCAGAGGTGGCAGCAGGGAGGAGGAGGGGACAAGGTACCGCTGGGAGGGAGAGCAGACTTGAAGAGCAGAGGCCAGGTCGGGAGCAGAGGGCAGAGGGCAGGACGGGAGCGAATCTCAAAAAGCCTGAGCTTGGTTTCCCACTTCCCTGTCCAGGGACAGAAATTGTCCAAATCAGTGAGGTTTAAAATCAACAGTTCCGGGGCTGGGGATGTGGATCAAGCCTTAGCGCGCTCGCCTGGTATGCGAACAGCCCGGGTTCGATCCTCAGCACCACATACAAACAAAGATGTTGTGTCCGCTGAAAACTAAAAACAAATAAATATAAAAAAAATCAACAGTTCCCTCTGGGGACCACTGTGACCCACTGTCTCAGTGCAGTAAAATACCAGGCGGTTCTTGAATGAGCCCTAACTTGGCAGAACTTGAATATAGACACCCAAGGAGTTTGGGGTCTAAGGGGAGGACTCTGCGTTTCCCATGACCTTCCAGCACCCTCGGGGGTGAGTGGGAGCAGAACAAGGCGTCCCAAATTCTGTCTGCACTCACCCAGGGACAGATACGGGCCAGGGTGGAGGTTGAGGCGTCCCTACAGCCTCCGCGGGCCCCAGCGGTTGGCCACCTGGTTGGTGGGAGGCTCTCAGGAGGACTGGGACGTCTCCACAGTCCCCAGAGCCCTGAACAGGGCCTATGGCACGCGCTGACTTACGGATAGACCCCCGCGGACAGACAGAAAGGGTCTGGAAGGTCAGGGGAAATGGGAACTTACCCCACTCCTGTCGGCCAGGATGAAGGGAGACGGAAAGAGCTGCTTAGAAATTTCCCGGTTAGTTTCAAGGGGAAAGGGATGGGCTTCAATCCCCAGAGGGCGAAACCCAAAGATCCCTTCCCGGGTGTCGGCACCAAGATGTCAGATCAGGGGGGGCAGGCAATGGCCAAAGGAGGCAGATTTAAAAGGGCCGCTGAACAGGCTTCATTGAGATATCACTCCCGGGCGGAACTCAATCAGACCCACAGAGGGGACAGGGGAAGGGTCTGAGGAGAAACCACGTGGAAGCTCGACGGGACTGGACTTTTATGGGGCTTACAGCAGGAAGGGAAGGGCTTGGGACAGGAAAAGGTGTTTCTAGGGTCCCTTGCCCCCTTGGAGTTGGTCAGGGGAGTTGGCTGAACTCCAGGATTGGCCAGGGGTCCTGCTGATTGACAGGCATTGATCAGGACATCTGGCTGATTGACAGGCGTTTCTGCCGGCATCTGATTGATGTTCTTTTCCAGCGCGGGCTGCTTTGTTCTCAGTTACCACCAAGTCACCACCACTGACCTAACAGACATAATGGGCCCTGGGGTCCCAAATTCATGGTGATGGAGGTCTGAATCTTGAGAGTGTATCCCTTCCCAAGAGAGGGGTAGGGCACTCGGGACGCTCAGGAATGAACGAGAAAACATCACCCCGTCCCACTCACAGCCTGACTGGGGAGTAAAATATCTGGTGCTGGGCCGTCCAGACTCCCTGGCACAGCATGTTATCAGAGGAAGGGGTCCAGGAGACACTGGAAAAGCTGGCACCAGTGTCCAGAAGGAAATGACCTCCTGGCTCCCTACTGAGGCTCGTGCCAGGGTTCCTGTGGAGTAATGGGAGTTCTGGGAGCCATTAAGGTTGACCTGGGCCCCCTCAGGCCAGGTTGGGGGGACTCTCACCCTGTGAGCCTGCACCCCAGGACATTCACTCCTCCAGTGACGGCCCTGACTGATAGCACGGGGCCTTGGTCCTCAATGGGGCTACATCACCTGTTGGCATTCCCACTTTTCTACAGTGGGACCAAATTCCTCTGGGAGTCAAGGTCCACCCACTCACTCCTTTAACATCCGGAAGCTTGCTCCCTCCAGGGCCATGACCAGTGCTTCAGCCGTCCTGCTATCTGAAGCCCGGTCCCTTTCCTCCCTCTCCTCCTGATCTGTTATGAAAGACAGATGCCAGGAGCCCAGGATGTCCGCTAAGGACTCATCAGGGCCACGTGCCCACGTCTGTGACTTCTCCTCAATGTCCGGGACATAAACCTATCCTTGAAAGTCTCCAGCCCTCTGTGCAGTCGGGATCCACTGCTGGGTGCTTTCTCAAGGCCTCCTGCAGTTTCCCCGTGGGGTTCTCCTGAAGGCTCGGTGCATTAGGATTTCATAAAGGCAGGCTTCTGCCTCGACCCTCAGGTCTTCAAGGACTAGGGCGGGACGCATCTCCTTCTCCAGTCACCCTGCTCATGGCTGGGATCCCACTGCTGGTTGTCCCTGGGAACCGCCTGTGCCCTGGGCAGATCATCAGCTCTCCCTCCTGCCGCGGCTCAGCCACAGAGCATCTCCAGGGTGCCGCAGCTGCCCAAGAGCCTGCTTTCCACTAGAGGTCAAAGTGTGACCCGAGACAACTCAGGATATTCACCTGGACCCTCTGGGAACTTCCCCACGTCCACCTTCATTTGCCTCAGGTCTTGAAGGGAAAAGAGCACTCGGACCTGGGTTGACCCAAATCCCCTCCTGGCATTTCCTGTAGAGGCGTAGGTTTTGTCCTCCTCTAGAGAGGATAACGGGGTCCTGGGCAGGGAGGACATGGGGGCTACTGCAGGGGTTAGTGGGAACCCTTGGGATTTCTCTGGCCTCTGTACCCTGGCAGGTGTCTTCTCCCAGATGCTCTTCCATCGTGGTGAAGCCAGATTTAAAGAGAGGTAGTTAGTGAGTAAAATAAAAAGGCCACGTGGAGAATGGAGCCCCGGAAAGCAGAGCAGCCCAGAGCCCATCAAAAGAAATGTTAATGAAACGGCTGGCAGCAAACAGGGAAGTGCTAATCAGAAGGGGCCCAGGCCCTTCCTGCCCAGATTACATCTCCCGCCCAACTGCCCCTCACCTCTGGGATCTCCCCACCTACCTTCAACCACTGCAAGATAACAGAACAAAGGACAGGGACAGAACGGCCAGCGGAAATGTACAGGGACAGAACGGCCAGCGGAAATGTACAGGGACAGAACGGCCAGCGGAAATGTACAGGGACTCCACGGAAACGTGGGGAAGCTGAACGAAGACCTCCCCTTCCACGGACTGCACCTCTGGGGTCCCCTTCTTCCTCCGGAGAAGTCTTTCCTGCTGTCCTTTAATAAAGCTCCCACTGTGCACTCTCCCCTGGCCTCCGCCTGCTTCTCTGGTGTTATCCTTCAGCATGGGGAAGCCAGGGCTCCTCACTGGTAAACCGCGGTGACAGTGGCAGCAATCTTAGCGGGGTCTAGCTTACACTGCAACATAATTTGGGGTTCTCCCTCCGAGCAAGGGAACCTCAGGCCATTCTCCTTCCTCCTTACAAACACACTAAGCTGCAAGACAGCAATGAAGGTCACTCTCCCTCGGGTGGCCATGGTTCTCCCTGGAACTCCCACTGAGGCCTGACAGCAGAAGAGAATCAGGAACCTGAGCGTCTGCGGATCAGACTTGTCCCAGACTTTCATTAGGCAGTCTAGTGGTGACGAGCAAGTGGCATGGGGGACACTTTATGAACTGGACATTCAGAATCACGAGGGCCTGTTTTAGTCAGGTTTATTTGTTTTTTGTTTTTGCTGCTGAGACCAAAAGTCCTAAAGAACAATCAGAGAAGGAAAAGTTTACTTGAGGCTCACAGTTTCAGGAGTCTCAGTCCACAGATGGCCGACTCCATTCCTTGGGGACTGAGATGAGGCAGAACATCATGAGGGAAAAGTGTGGTGGAGCAGCAGCTGGGAACAAGGCCACCTGATGCAGAGAGGGAGAGGCTTCAACAAGGACAAAATACAAATGCAGGGACCCCCTCCTCAGCCACACCGACCTGCCTACTGGCCACTCGGTATTCCCTTCCAGAGGATCCGGTTAAGGATCCCATAAGCCTTCCATTTCACCCCGAACCTTCTTGCATTATCTCACACAGGACTCTGGGGGACACCTCACATCTAAACCAGGACAGAGCCCTCCTAATGCTAGCCTGTACTCCACGTCAGAGGATCCCAGCCTGAGTGGGATTCCCATGCATCCACAATATTGGGGATCTTCCCTGGGCCAGACATTGTCTGAGGGGCCAGACATACAGCTGAAGTCCCCTGCCCCTGAACCCCTGGGGGATGATGTCATAGTGGAGAGATGCTTAACAAGTAACAGAAACAAAAGCTGAAGGGAGTGCCAAGACACAGTGTGTCCTGGATGGGACCAGTGTTAACCAACTTCTGCACCAGGCAGGGGGACTGGGGGCTCCAGAACCCAGGACCAGCCCAAAGCTCAGGGTGAGAAATGGGAAAAGAGGTTTGAAGGACAAGAAGCATGAGTCAGCCTCACCAGACCTGCCCTGCCCCCAGGTGAGACCAAGGACCAAGATTCACAGTGACAGCCAGGCCACTGCCTGCTGGATTCTACCATGCTGGGGACAACCAGGGCCTGGTCCCAGAGCTGTGAAACAGACTTACGCATCGAAATTTCCTTGCCAGCGTACCCCATGTTGCTTAGAGGAAGGACTCGTGGAAATGGACTTGCTTTGGACATTGGCTGTGACATTGCATGTATGTTTGAGAAAGGTGACCCTGCTCAAGGACCAGGGTGGATCCAGGTTTAGGGTGTATCCTGCAGGTTTTAGGAAGTATCCTGCTCCTTGGGTTTAGGGCGTTCCCGGTTTAGGACAATTTGGGTTTAGGGCAGTTCCAGGTTTAGGGTTATTCCTGCTGGGAATAGGGCGTATCCTGCTGCCTGAGTTCCCCTTGAGTTCTTGTAGAGGCCGGTGTGAGTTCGGGAATAAAGAATTGCTGTTTGAATCTACAAAGCTGTGAGTGGCTCGTGATCTTGTGCCCAGCCAAGACTGCGGCAAATGTCCATGCCCTTCTGCCCCTTTCAATGCTTTATTCACTCAGATCACTCCATACAGTTTCACTCTGTAGGTTCTTACCCAAGAAAACGACAATCCTTGATGCTGGGCACTGCAATAGACATAATCACTTCACAGCAAACAATTCTAGATTCATTCTAAGCACTGCAAACACACCTAATCATGACAGGCTGGTGACAGACATCCCCTCTGCAGGCTAAGTTCAAAAGTCATAAGTCTTAGGCTTTATGTCCAGCAGATGCCCACCCACTCAGACAACCAAGCAGGCTTTTCCTGGTGTAGAGTGGACAGCCCATGGAGGAGGGGGTCTTAGGGAGAAGTTGAGGCTCTCACCAAGGTTCAGACCAGGCGGTAGAGTTTGAGAGTGGTGACGATCACGCAGAGGCTCAGGAAGGATGACAAGTGATGGGATGTCAGGTCCTCACCAGGCTCTCCAGCTCCAGTGCATCCTTGTTTCGGGTGGCTGAATCCCTGTTCATTAGCTCTACTATTTTTACTAAAATTTGGGGGCTTTTGACCCCCCTTTCAATCCTTTTTTTTTAAAAAAGAGAGTGAGAGAGAGAGAGAGGGAGAGAGAGAGAGAATTTTTAATATTGATTTTTAGTTCTCGGCAGACACAACATCTTTGTTGGTATGTGGTGCTGAGGATCAAACCCGGCCACACGCATGCCAGGCAAGTACGCTACCACTTAAGCCACATCCCCAGCCCCCTTTCAATCCTTATCAGCTGCCACTGGATTCTCAGTGACATCATTTACCCTGGGGTCAGAAACATCTGGTCTGGTGTCTTCCCCCACCCCATCTTCTCGCCCTTCCCTCTTATCAGGGAGGACAGCCTGCCAGGCTTCACTCTGTTGATGAGGGTCAGGGGAAGTGACTGTCTGAGGCCACACTGAGGGCTCTGTGGGTGTGCCTGGGGAGCCTGCAGGTTTCAAACTGGAGTTTTTAAAATGGAGTTCCCTAGGCTCAGGCCTAGGGCCATCCTCACAGCCCCCATCCTGTGAGAATGCACCCTGGAGACCATGCAAGAAGATGGACTAAAGACTCATGCCCACTATCTGGCTCCAGTGGCAGGCCTGTTACAGGGCTGCCTTGGCCCCAGCCCTCCCTGGCTGCCCTAACACCCCCACTGTGTCTCCCCCCACCTCTGGGAGTGGAGCTAAGGAGCCCTTTCCCTGGGGCCCTCCCTCCTCCTGTCACTGCAGCTGCCACCCAGCAGGACTGCAGGGCCAGGTGGGACTGCTTCTACAGGAAACGTGCCACAGAAAAGCGAAGTGTGACTGCGGGGAAGGGGTGGTGAGAGTCGGCAGCCCACAGCCATGGAGGGGGCTCTGCAGAAGGCCTGCAGCCAGACACAGCTCCCTGCTGGTGTCCCCAAACAGTGGCCTGCCTGGCCTGCCAGGGTGGGGCAGAGGACAGGGTGCCGGGTGGCTGCAGGGCCACATGCGGGTTGGCGGAGCTGCTTCCTGGGCATCTGGAGACACAACAGCTGATGCTCTGGGAGAGGGGAGGAGAGGCACTGGGACTTCTAAAGGGTCTTGGTACCCTTGCAGAGGGGCAGGCCAGGCTGACTGGTGGACCCCATGGCTGCTGCAGCACACAGGAGGCTGTGTCCCTCCTAGGGCCAGCCCTGGCAGGACAGGAGGCAGCCCTGTGCCCAGAAGGAGAGGTTCCAGTTAGATCTGTCAAAACCAGTGCCAGGGGGAACAGAAACCAGAATCCCCACCTCCCATCCCAACCTCATCCTGTCTCCCCCAAGGCTGCCCAACCTTGGGATGGCCCAGGGACAGCCCAGCGTGGAAGCAGGTACAGGCTAAGGACAGGCTTAGGGCCCGGTGTTGCTAAATCCTCTGGCCTCTTCTCCCTCCCCACCCACCCATTCAGCCAAGGGATTCCCACACTGCACCTTGGGCCTACGTAGACGGGTCTAGCCCCCATAAGCCTGGGCATCAGTGACTGTCACACGGACTGGTCGCCAGTTAAGCCTCAGCAGGCTTACCCTTCTGGATAGCGAGAAGCAGCGGCCAGGCACGTGCAGGATCCGGTGGCCCCGCCGGAACTCAGGTACCACCTTACATGAGAGGGGGACTACTGAGGTCTCAGGTCCCTCTCTGGGTGTCACAAGGAACCTGGGAACGCCGCGGGCTCACAGGCTCCAAGTCAGTGTCCCAGGATGGAGGGCCAGCGGCCGGCACCTGGACTATCCTCGGGTCTGGAATGCGTCCCCCGAGACCCCCGCCCCC